AGAGTCTGTTTTTGTTTGAAACTGTGTCTGTCTACAGCCTCGAAAAACATTCAGATATCTTTTCCTTTGGCTCACTATGCTGATTGTGCTGTACTGTTTTCAAAGCAATGGCTTGTTTTTGCTTTCATTTTTTTTTCTGCTTGCTGCCCTTGGAAGAAAAACAAAACAACACACACACACACACACACACACGAAAGAATAACTAAAGCCAGACTGGAAAATAGCAATGCCTTAAAAAAGAAGTTTTCCTGTGACAGGACCACCAGTCCAAGCAGCAAGTCCTAAATTCTCAGCCTGTATCCTCCAACAAGAGAAAGACATTTGCAGTTCAGGTTCTCCAGTGTTGTACTCTGGAGTGAAAGGGGAAACCTCCCTGCTGGTGGGACTGATCTTGCTGGAAAAAATGTTGGGAATTTGTGTGACAAAAAACCCTAGTTATGATTATCTGTGAGGCAGTATCTTTGCAGAGGATGCTGGTGTGCAAAAAAAGTGATGAAATTAGGGGAGTGCAAGAAGATGACAGTTGGGCCCCTGCTTTTAGTTCAGCATCCCATAAGAGACAGGAAAAATATAGTAAAATTATTCTGTCTGCTGGAATGAGACCTGAATATGTGTGTACCCTTCTAGGAACAGTGATTGCTCTCGATGTTATGGAATCAGTTTTGCAGTGTACTGTTCTGGAAAACCACTGCCTTAACTATCCTCCGAATTCCTCTTGAACTGGGAGAAGGGTAGTTATGTGGGTGCCTTCCTTTTAGACTGCTCTGGCTGAAAGCAATACTGAGAGTTATGGTGAGAGAAATAAATTTCCAGAGTCTTTAATCTCTAGTGTCAATAGTTTAATGTCAAAAGTGTGGAAAACTTGGGGTTTTAATTACTTTTGTTCACTGTAGTGGGTGGTGATTCACAGGAATTATATTACTAAGGTGTGGAATAAAGAGGAAGAATATTAGGATGATGTAGCCTTCTTCTGTAATAATTGAATTGTAGATATCACAGTCTAGTAGCTTTATGCTAGAGTAGACTCAGTTGAATTGTAGATATCACAGTCTAGTAGCTTTGTGCTAGAGTAGACTCAGAGTGCTTGTGCTTGCAGAACTTGTGTTGATGCCATCAGTGCTGTACTTCCTTTGCGTGGATTTGAGCAGGAAAAACACTGAAGGAGTAATGAGAAAAACACAAACCTTTTCTTTTCCAGAAAGAAGTTGTAGCATCGTGCTACGTTTCTTTACTATTTACATTCTTTGGGTTCATCTAATGACGCTTTTATTAGATCTTTTCTGAACACGCTTCTATCTGGTTTGGCTTTGTCCTTGGTGTGTCATCTGCGTGTTAGCAGGTGGAGTGCATGTAAAGGGTCTTGGGGAAGTCTTACAGTAATACACTAGGAAGAAAATTGTAGGAAGAATAAGTAGCAACATTTGCTTTTTGATTTAGGAAAGGCTTTTATGAAAAGAGAAAAGAAAAGAAAAAAAGAAAAGAAAAGAAAAGAAAAAAGAAAAGGAAGAAAAAGAAAAAAAGAAGAGTGAGTTAGCAACAAGTAACTATGGATTTGGTAATAATGTTTTTAGAAAGTCATTATCAATAAATCCTCAAAAAGGAAGGGTATGCAGGGATAACCTCCGAAAACTAAAGGAGAAGCTAGGAAAAGTACAGATGACGTGAGCTGTGGCTTCCACTGACCACAGAGTCTACTTGCCCTGTTGCATACCTCTTTCTGTGGTTGCAAGCAGCATTGATGCCTCTTTTTGGAAGTTTGCAGGGTGTTTGATGCCAGTTTAACAAAAACACTAAGGGGAAGTGCTACATGTAAATGACTGAAGCTCCAAGTGCTGGGGAGCCAGCCTGATTTTTGAGAATGGTAGAGAAATCAGCATATCCCAAGAAGTACAGAAGACAGCCATTTGCTCCAACAGCATCTTTCAAGGCACTGCATCCAAAACAGGTCCAGAAAATGCTGGTCCTGCTAACTTGCTCTGGATGTGAAAATCTTCATTATAGTGTAGGTAGCAGCTTCTGATCTCTCTAATGCCACTATGTGGTCATCCTGAAATCTGAAGTGGTGCTTGGAGCAGCAAGGCAGTCTTTCCTCCTAAGGCCCACTTGAACATCTCCCACTTTCTCAGTGTGCTTCAAATCTGTGTTTTCTCTGAAAGAAAGAATATGCTGTCCCAGCATCTTGGTTTTTCTCTCTCCTTTCTCTATACACTGTATACACTATAGACAATTTAGAAATAAAAAATGGCTACTATTTGCTTACTGATCCTGAAAAAAGGATTGAAGTATTCTCAAACTTGACACTATTTGTCTTCTCCTCTGGTTTTTATGATCTCTTTCTGCTTTCCCCTTGGGGAAAAAAAAAATCTTAAAAAAAATATTCTTGTGTTATGTGGCTACTTTCATACACAACCCAAATAATGAGCATGACCAAGAATGGTGTTTAAAATGACTGCTGGTCTGGCAGTCACAGGCTGAATACATTTTCACACAACTCCCTTAGTGGAGGCAAGTTCTACTACCCCTTCCAAAAGGACTGTTTATTGAATAAGGACTGATTCTGTTTCAATAAAGTGATCTGCTTCTCTTGATACTGTAAATGATAAGCAGCTTCTGATTTTCATCATACTTTAACCATATGGAGTAGCATCATTCCAAGTATTTCAATTCACACACGTGATGATCTATTTAATACAACTCCAATTATTTTGAGATATCCCAGTATTTTAAATAATTTTGAAAAACAAAACAACATAAAAAAAATCAACCCACCTTGTAGATGATGCACTCATGAAAATGTGGAACTAAAGAAATTCAATCAATTTCTATCACTCTTGGTGTCACCAGTTGTTCCACAGCAAATCTACTCACCTGTACAGTAATAATTTTTATTAAGGATTTTGTGAAGTAGTGTATAAGAAGTTTTAGTATCTCTGATGCTGGATCAAAAAGAGTATTTTAATGTAAGGAAAAATGTTACTAAATTAGCAGTAGGTCTAAGATTCTTAATTTGAATAATTAGGCTGATTTTGTATTTATAAAAGCATTTCTAGCAAATAGTGACTTTATGGCATGATTATTACTCAAATTGACCCTATTGTTAGGATTAACATGCATATGAATGTGTTCTTTTTGTTCAAATGTTTAGCATTCAAGGAGAAAATTTGCTGCTTAATAATGAGCAGCAGTTTTAACGATTGTCTCATTACCATAGTTCCCTTCTTTAGTGAGCTTCTGATGTCATGACTTTCAGCTTTATATGATAGATAGCATGGATGATTCCTAGCCCGAGAATTTTTTTTAACATTTTGCTATGAAGAGATGTTTTAGTTAGAAAAAACGGGAAAAAAACAGAGAAAAAGGAAAAAACTGGAACAAACTGGAAAAACCTCGAAAAGCCGGGAAAACCTCGGAAAAACCAGAAAAAAATGAAAAAAACCGGAAAACCCGGGAAAAAAAATGAAAAAAACCCCAGGAAAAACCGGAAAAAAACCGGAAAACCCAGAAAAAAAATTGAAAAAAACAGGAAAAACTGGAAAAAACCTGGAAAAACTGGAAAAAAAATGGGAAAAAATGGAAAAAAACCCGGAAAAAATAAATCTAAGAATTGAGCATAATCTTCCACACCACTGCAAACTGGTTTGAAGTTCTCAAATCCTTTATTCTTTTAGCTAGTAGGATAAAGAAGGGGAGAAATATGGTTGGAAAAAGGCTTTGGTTTGGTTTTCCAAGCATGCGATGGAAGTCTAATGTATCTCAAAAGTAACTTGAATGGAAAGTATTTCAAGCTGGCAGAAATATAGACAAGTCTAATACCATCTGAATGGCTTTCTCAATAAAATTCAGAAGAAATATTGATTAGAGCATTAATAAGGTTGGAACTTTTCCCCCAAAAAAAGAGTAATCAGTGACACTTTTAAAGCAGACATTCTGTGCAGCAATTTTTATTTCCTTGTAATGGTTGTTAAATTAAGTGAATATGCCATTTAACATTAAACTTAGCAAAACTATTTATATTTTGTGGCATACTTTATGACAGAAACATATCAACAAAGGGCAATTAGTAAGATTTCATTTGCTTTTCCAGCATTAGGCTTCTGCTGAATGTTTTTCATAGTTGGACAATAATATTTTTCAGATGATAATGAACTCTTCACTGAGAAAATAGTGGCCAAAAACAACCATTGCTGTAATATCGTCTCTATGAAAATTTGCTTTGCATTTTAAAGGAAAAAATTCTTAGTTAAGCCTGCACTGATACTGGACTGAGGTAGGAGAAAATCACACTGTCAAATTTCCATTAAGGTCTGCCCATCTCTAAACTAATTTTCTCAGATTTTGGTACCAACTATGTCAGTGGGCAGATTTATCTGATTTATATTATATGTTTTAATGCTTGAACTGATTATTGGTTTTGTCTCTTCCCTTTTGTACTCTAGTTCAAGGAAAGGTGTTTTTGCTAGCATGTTAGCTGAGTTTTCTTTTATTCACATTTAACAGCCCTTACACTCACTATTACTGTATTTTACTGATACCATCTTAAGGCAAGAACTGTAAACTCTTAAAATCCCAAGCTGAGTACATATGGAAATCTGAGCCACAAGACAATTGCTACTTTTTTAATGCATGTGAAGGTGCAAAGAGACCAGTGAGTTAATTGGTATAATCATATGCACGATGCAGACATCTTGTCTGATCTAGTTCTTCAATTGTGTAAAACAAGACACTGTAGATGTTTCAAAGCTAGAAGATTTTTCTGGTTTACTTTCATTAGGATCTAATTTCTGTTAGCATTCTGACTTCTTTTGTTCTTAGTTAAGATGATTTCTTTCTCCTACCAAATTGTGACTATAAAAACATACGCATCATGTTATTTTTTTCATCCTTTTAATAATAATAATAAATCCATTGCAGTGACTTTTCCATCAATTATTGTGATATGTATCTTTATTTTTACAAAGGAATTTGACAAGCAGATATCTGGAGTTTTTAATGGAGATAAAACAATAGCCTATGCATGTCATTGTACATGCATAGTGAAATGATGGACATAAATCATGTGCCCACACACAGAAAACAAGGCACTGTTAAGACTCTACAAGAAATAAATGACCAAGAGGTTGTCGATACATTAAAAACTGAGCTTCTAAAGAAAACTGTATCAGTAGTAATTTTAACAGCCTAAAGCTGTGCATTGTTTTGGGGTTCTCTGTTTAAAAGCCCAACTGTGTCCCTCTTTCCATATGTATTGGATCCCACATTTGTAGGTGAATAAATGGCTCCGATGTTGCTGCCAGAACGAACCAAGAAGTCAGCCAAGCGCTGTGTCACACACGTAGCCGTGTTGCATTTCCGTTTCTCCACATGGTGGCTTCTGAGGTAAAACAAGAAGGGCCAAGATTAAGCCAAATGATGAGCAATCCAGTGTGCCATGTCTAACAGGCATTAGAGCTGTGCTAATGTGGGAGTTCTTTTATTATGTGCACAAATACAGGAACATGACAATCTTCCTACCACCTACTTTGTGCCTGAAAAAAATCTTGTGCAGTGTGAGCTCTTACCGGTTTTAATGGTGGGATTTTTTTACATGCAAACACTGTAACAGTCATATGTCATTTTAATTGATATCCTGCATAGCAGTTTATGACATCTAGAAAACCAGTAATGATAGTATAGTTAAGACAGTAAGTGAAAACAATGACTAAATGTTTAGCTTTAACCTGCACTTCTAAATCTATTTAGAGCTCTTGATGATATCATCATTACTAACATAATGCCAATCACTAACGTTTATTTAGTTCTTTTGTTCCCACAAAATCATATCTTGCTCTTACTGACGTAAAGAGTCATTTTTCAGTACACACCAAGTGGACTGAGCCCAAAGACTCTTTCTCCCAACTGTGCCACATACCATGAGAAGTGGCAGGCATTGCTAACTTCTGCTGACTTCAGTACCACTTAGGATTTTGATTTCTCTAAACAGAAGTTTCTTACTATATATTCACAGAATGGATGGTGTTGGAAAGGACCTTAAAGATCATCTAGTTCCAACCCTTCTGCACGAGCAGGGAAACCTCCCACTAGACGAGGTTGCTCAGAGCCCCATCCAGCCTGGCCTTGAACACTTCCAGGGGGTGGGGCAGCCAAAACTTCCCCGGGCCACCTGTTCCAGTGTCTCACCACCCCCGTGGTGAAGAATTCCGTCCTAATGTCTAACCTAAATCCACCCTCTTCCAGTTTAAAGCCATTATCTCTTGTCCTGTTGCTACCTGCCCTTGTAAAAAGTCCTCCAGCTTTCTTGTAGGACCCCTACAGGTACTGGAAGGCCACTATAAGGTCTTCCTGGAGCCTTCTCTCCTGCAAGCTGAACAACCCTAACTATCTCAGCCTGTCTTCACAGGAGAAGCTCCAGCTTTCTGACTTTTACAAATGAAAAGCATCCACATCTTTGTCAAAACACCAGCAACCTGAAGGTGCTGTTGTGGTAGGAGATGATAATCTCCTGGATGAGAATTTAGAGTGCTCATGAAAGAATCTGTACCTTAAAAGAATGAAATGGTCTGAGCCAATAGATGATTTACAGAACTTAATCTAGAACTTAGATAGCATGTGATTTTTAATTTATTTGTTTGTTGTTTTTTGTTGTTGTTTTGTTGTGCTTTTTTTTTTTGTATACACAATACAGTGGTTAGCTTGAAAGAGTTTGGGTTTTCAAACTTGTTTCTTAGACCACTGTGCTATTCCTTCAGACAGAAACATTTGCTTGCTGAGATTGTTTATTGAGATATTGTTAATTTTCTTGGGTTTCTTCACTGTTGATATGGCATGAGGTAGACAACAAAAATTTATTGGGAAGAGCGAAAATTTCCCAGTTTAAGACTATGAGCAGTTACCAACTAGAACATTTTCCTATTGAGTGACTGAAGCTGTTATCTCAAATGTCATCTATTCTTTTTAGAGTTATTTGAATTAACCTAAGAATCTGAATGGCATAATAATTGTAAGATAAATGTCTGTATTATACTGGTTCTTCATTGGCAAATATGCAGCAATTTCTAAGCAATTAGTATTTTAAATACATAATTGTATTTTATGGAAATGGCTGGATAGATCTTGTTTTAGCTTCTTGTAGGGTTCTATGGGTATTTCTATTGATTTTAAGAGTTTAATTAAACCTTTAACATATGAGGTTCAAACAGCTACTGGTTCTCATGGGTTTTTTTTTTGTGGAGGCAGAATTCTGATTTTCATCAAAGGTACAAAATCAGGCCCTGGCACTACAAGTTTAAACTCCAGTTCTTACAGGAAGCTACTAGATTTCTAGTTGATGTCTAGCCTGACAGACCCCTCTCTGAGCTGTAGCATTTAGTTGAATATATGCTTCAATAAGACAGTTCACCCAGTAGGAGACTGTAAACCAAGGCCCCAGGAAAGCAGGTAAGGCACACCACACTCATATGCCTTGTGTTTGATTACTACAATTATTATTTTAGTTTTTAAAAATTAGTAGCTGTAAAAATGTCAGAAACTAGTCTCCACTATAAAAATATTTATTAAGGTAACCAATCATATAATCCCATCATTTTAGGAGTAAATTCACAGAGAAAGATACAGGCAGCTAAACAGACATGTATTTACTGAATCTATCCATAAAAAGAAATTGAAAGAAATTCACTCAAAAGCCTGATGAACAATTAGAGTAATTCAGCACTGTTTATCTTTTAGTATAAATTGCAGACATTTTTTGAAATTCTATTTTATTAATTAAAAAATTACCTGAAACTGAATTTGTGCATTTATAAATCTGAATGCATTTCAGACTAGTTAAATTCTATCAGAGCCAATTGCTTCTTTTCCTTCTTCTTATGATTAAATTGATACTTAACTCTGTGATGAAATATTACTTACTTATAGGAAACAGTTATAAAATAATTCCATTCTATCATAGCATTAGTGTTATCAACACGGCTAGACTTTCTTTTTCTTTTTTTTTTTTTTTTTACTTCAGACTTGTGAATGTGACAAAAGCTTAGAGTCATTTCAAAATACACTTTTCTTCTTAATGTAATGTAGTGTTTGTTGCCTTTTTCATTTATGAAACCATTAAAATTGTAAAGTGGTTAAATGATCTGCAGCCTTTGTCACTAGATTTCACTCTGAATGCTTTGATCTTTATGCTTACAAAATGGCTTTATTTACAAGAACAATATTTTAAGCTTTTTTTGAGAATAAACAGACACGAAAAGTCTCAAGTAGCAGAGTAGCACTGAAGTTTACTTTGTAATTTAATTCTAACTGAGATGACTAGAAGAAACTAGGGAAATCAATACCTTTTTGTCTTTGCTGCTGGTTGTTCTGGCATTTCCTCACTTAATCCTGAGAGTGTATTCAGTGACATTACTGGCAATATCCATCCTTGTCTCTTGGAAGTACCGTCAGATAGATCACCAGCCACAGACAGTAATCTTTAAACAACAATAAAATAACCTGTGAAATTGAATAGCTTTGTTTTTGTTCAGATTTTTCAAGATACGAAAGCAAAGGCAATTAATGAAATAATCTGAACACTTTTTCCTATAAGAAGAAATAAGTATTATTATTTATTACTCACTTTTCAATAGGTGTAGCTTCCAAACAGCTCAGAGTGACAGAAAGTGCAATGAAGAAAACCGACAGCCGTAGGTTGCACATCTTTCCTTCCAAACTTTCTGAAAAGAGTAATGATTCAAAACTGAAAGCAAACCCAAATACTTTTCAGCATATCCTATTACTGATGCCCATTCTGTCCTAAATCAAAAGCAGCTAGACTTTGTCACAGGCTAGAGTAAGAAGAATGATCCCCCTACGTTTAGTGACACAGCACAGTTTCAGAACGATAGCTCTCAACAATAAATGTTCATTTTCAATCTAGTAGTTTCAATCCTTTTCCTTGTTTCCAATTTGCATTTCCTGACATGTCCCAGTCTCAAATTCTGGTCTTAGGTGCCATGTACCTTGAAGTTATCTTAGCCTTTTCCTGAAAAATGCTGTGGCTTAATAATGCAAAACATTGTGTTTTCCTGAAAGCACATCTGTTGTACTGAATCTTAAGTAAGGAAAAAAAAGAAATTGTTTACCTTTTAGTGGTCAGGGAGCTAACTGAAGAAGCACACCTGTGTGAGCAAGAAGGGTGCATGCGACAATTCCACACTTGCATCTAGCTCTGCAGTATCCCTTTTCCCCTTTCCTTGCTGACAAGTAGTACGGCTCTTATATACCCTTCACACCTTTCTCAGCTCTGACATCAGGCAGCACAGAAAAAAGACTTGTCATTAATTCCCATCCCTCTAGATAGAAAGTATCCCAGAGAGGAGCAGAGGCAGATAGGTCACTGTTACATGAACACATCAGTAAATATTAACCTGGTGTATGCAGGATGCCCTCATGAAGATGCTGTAATAGCACATTGCACATCAGAGCTGTAGCCTCAATCTTACAGTTCTGATAAGATGCTGAGGTAATATTCCCTGTGGGTGTTTTCAAAGGCTAAATAAGGTAACAAGAGTTATAAAGAAAGACAGAGTAAATGCAACATCAGATCACCAGTAACTGAAATATAAAGAAACATAACTTAGAAAAGATACAACAGTTGAAGTTGTGGAGGATTGTTGTAGAAGTATATAATGATCAAAGCAGGAAAAAAAGTTTGAAGGGATAAAAGCTGTATAAGTGATAAGAAAAGACAGAAAATATTTAAATTGACAGATGGGGTGACTATTCAGGGTAACAAGGTAGAAATAATGTACATTTTTCAGTAAAGTATAAATACAAATGAAAATGTAAAATGTTTTGCTTTACTAACACTGGTAGATTCTTTATGTCAAGCATGAAAATGGTATCAATATTCTTAAGCAGGCAAAGACTAGGGTTAAAAAGCTAGGAAATAGCAGAATGAAGGCTATCTGTGCAAACTTATTTCTCTAGTATGTGCAGAGATTCAGGGGAAAATATACAGCTTTTAATAGACTAAATCCAGTGTTAATAAATTATCTGATTTCAGATTTCCAAGGATACTGATTAGAACAATTATTTCCCCAATTTCTGTGGGAATTAGGCATAGTATTTTTTTCTTCCCCCCCCCCTCTCCCCCCTTCGGTCTCATAAGTTGCCTCTAGATGTCCAAATGCTTTGGAAAACAGGCCTTTCAATTAGTTATGGAGGCTAAAATGCTGGCACAAAAGCTCAGGCAAAGTTTTCTGTGGTAAGAAGTTACCATATGCACCTTCCATGTCCCCACAGAATATGAATTAATTAATAACTGCTTCAATGCCTTAATTGGAATTCAATTGCCTTAATTGGAAGCCTCCTTCTTTGTTGATTTAGACTGTAACTCCAGATTTTCACTGAAGTGGCTGAAGTTCCAGTGTTGGCTCTCTTCAGGCATATGTGCTACTTGAGTTGCATACACCAGTATTGAGCTGGGATAGTTACCTCTTAACCTGATCCAACAGCTAGTCTGCAAATAAGATTCTAGCAAATTCTTGCAAGTGACAAAATATTTGGGGTTGTTTTTATTCTTAAAATTTATTTAATTTGCTTCTTCTGGGTATTTTGCACTCTGTTTTAATGATAAACTTTCCCCCCCTCCGGTTCCTGAGTGGGAAGAGATCCACATCCCCCTGACAGTAGTGGTGTGTATGCTCAGCTCAGCTCTTACAAAAAGGCAAGCTCATATTGTTTCAGCTCCTGAAAATCAACAGATGGATGCTGTTTTCATCCAGGATTTTAAAATATTGGACGGAATATTTGGAATCTGTTCTGTTTTATGGCATCTAAATAAATGGTTGTTGTGTCAAGCTTGAATCAAGCTAAGGGGTGATGTAAGAAAAGTGAAACCAGCTTTTCAAAGAAACATTGGTCCCAAATCCTGTTTCCAGCTGTCCTGCAAAGGGCATTGGAGAGCTTCTAATACTTTGAGGGAAGAAGAGTGATTCAGGAACGATTCTTGAAAAAACTTTAAAAATGAAACTGGGCTTGTGATATCCTAGGATCATTGTCTGCTTCCTGGGCCACAAAGCATATTGGCAGAGTCAGCAAGAAGTCTATCCAGCTATTTATGGTAACAAAATTAGAGTATTAATGGCTTCTGTTGCATATCATTTTAAGCAGGAGTAGTGTTTTCCCACACAAACAAGAGTGGAATATGACATTGCAGAATCTCTTTGAAAGCCGAGCTATTCGTAACTCAAATTTTAAGAACCTGGCATGAAGTACTGTGCACGTAGTGCCATTCAGTGAAGTGGTTAATTATTTTTATCACTAACAAAGTTCCTTAACCTTGATCTTAGAAAAAAAACCTTTCTTATTGTGCATAATATATGATATCAGCCTAAGGAAAAAATCAGGTATTCTTAGTAAAGAAATCCGTGACCAATTATATCCTGAGTAGTTATATGGTATTTTTATGTATTTATACTGGTGTCTAAGTCTGTATGAAAAAAATATGTATGAAGTGTTTGTGCCTATATGAGGGCTAGGGGACATCAGAGGAGTGGAGGTTTGCAAAGAAGGTATAATATACCAATGCCCCAGCTCCCTCTGGAAACTACCCGCATAAATATCTTTAGCTGCAAGAGGATGAACATGCTCTGCCCTATTATGCACTGGCAGCAGAGAACAGGGATCTAACCTTGTCTCAAATGTTTGCTGCTTAAATATACTGGGGAGTGGGATTTGTCTGACTAAATTTGAGAGGAATAGAGGTCCTTCTAATGCCCATTTCTAATGTAGATATCTGAAATAGCTCAGATATTTTGTGCTTGTTCTTCCCTTTGTACTAGAAAAACAGCCCTGGGTAACTCGCTTAGATATAGATGTTTACACTGCAGCTATCTAAGAGAATGTGAAATAAATTCCATCGGAGTGCTTTCACTATCTCATGTGCTCAGTTCCTAACCTTTAAGGTTGTCTCCCCTTTCTTGTATTTACGTTTTTTTTAGGCTATTCTTGACACCTGCTGGAGACCTGTTTCCCACTTTTAATGGCTGCTTTTCAGTTTCTGAGTTCCGCATTTACTTAATAACATTAATAACACACATTAAGACTTTTGGTAATGGGTGTCTCTCATTTGTGTGAGTGACAAAAAGCCACGTTACCCCTTGCAAGAGGAATAAACCCCAGGTTTAGGTCAGAAGAGTCAGAATTGACAGCACAGTGATTGATGAGTTATAGCTCCTGATGCCAGGTGTGCTTAGGGTTTTACTTGCATGGCTTCTACTGGCTTGCATCCAGCAGTTTACCTTTGAATACAACAGAAAGTTTGCATTCTTAATTTTCTTTATCCCTGTCTCTTCTGCAACTTGCTTTCAGAAGTCTGTCTGCTTCTGCAACCAAAAGCAGAACTTTGGTTATCAGTGTCATTACAAGGGCTCTAGACAGTGGTAACAGTAAGAAATACAAAATAGTACTACTGTTCTTCCTTTCTCTTAATATAAGCATCCATTACTTCCTCTTATCATAATTGTATAAAGTCACTGTCTATAAGAATTTACCTCTGAAAAGATACCCAGCTTTCAGATATCTTGCTGCAATGCTTATATACCACTACTACAATAGTATTTGGAGTCCTGTGACACGTGGACTCAGATGTGTACTTCAAAGCAGAAGAAATAATTTGCTAAAAGGAAAGTTATGACACTTAATTGGAGCACCTCCTTACAGAGGCAGTACACTGTACATTTACATCCTGGCTCACTGCATAGGTTTCTCTGTACAGAAGAGTCCAGGGTGACTATATTGCTACTGAACATGCAGAACGAGATCTCCCTGAATGCTCCTGTAAGGGAAAAGAGAGATTAAAGAATCAGATATGTGTCAAAGTGCTGTTTCTGATTTACCAAGTATAACTGTGAGAACTCTCCACCCTCTCTTTCCCACCCCAGCATCTTTTAAAGGGCACAGACATCTGTAGCAGACAGTGTGACCAGGAACCACCCTCCATGCTTCCCAGACTTATTTCTGTGGAGGTGAAACACTAGTAAGTACAAAGCAAATAGAACCTATTCACTGGTGAGAGAAATGGCTGGTTTTCAAAATAAATCTACATAGAATAATGTCAGCCCTTGCTACCTGATCCAGCACATAAGTTTAAACTAAGTCTTCCTTTAAACTATCTCATTTTCAAGAATCAGATTTTTTTTTTCCACCCTGCAAACTGCAGCAAGAGAATGACAATCTGGCTTTGTCTTGAAATGCTCCAAGTCTTTTAGATGATGGTGTCTTGACAGCTCTGCTATTAAGAGTGACATTCTCTCTGCTGTTTAAAAAGGAGAGCTGTGCTGAACCAAGGATCACTCGTGTTAGTAATAATTTTTCACAAGTGTCAAGGCTACATAGGAGGATTTATATTGATGATACCATGAAACATTAATTAACTCATTTATGGTATGTTGGCACATGGGGCTGCAAAATGAGACAGCTTTTCTTCCAAGAGAAGTATAGTGGGGCTGCATTTACTGTATGCTTGGATTATTGTATGTGTGAGTGCAAGACCTGACCTTTTCTTTCAACTTGGAGATGAGAAAACATTTTGATAAGCACAGGAACATGAATCACTACATGAAATTGTCTCTCTAAGAAGTAACTAAAAATTCATGATGACTTAAGCAAATGTATCTGGAAAAATTTAGTGGGTTTTTTTCTCTGTTATGAGTACTGATGCCATCCATTTAGCAACCACTCCACTTTTGGCTGAGATTATCCCTGGTAATAGAAAATATGAATAGTATGGAAAAGTCCATATTTAAATGTGAGCTCTCACAAATGTTTTAAGAGTGACAAGTGACATGGCTGATTCAAAAGAAGATGTTTTTAGAAACAGAATGTTACTGAATCAAATACCAGTGGGAAATTGAAGGCACTGCATTATTGCAAGACAAAAAATATCTGAGGCTCTGGAAACTTTTGGTCATTAACATTAAATAATTTCCTGTTCACACCTATTCTGCTAATGAATGCTACAGTTTCAATGGGACAAAGCTGAAAAGTCATTTTATAGTAATTGAAGCAGAAAAGAACCTTGTGCAGACCAGAAGAGAAGCACATATTTCAGGACAAGTGTCTTTAAAATGCGTGAGTGTTAAGTATGTATTAAGCATAATTTAGAATGGGTATCTTTAGCTCTGCTTTTAGGTTGAGAGTCTTTTCTATTGCATAAACTATTGTCTAGGTTTGTGTTGTGGGGTTTTTTTTGTGTGTGTTTTTTGTGTGTTTGTTTGTTTGTTTGTTTTTTCATTGCTTTATAGTATTCTTACACATTTCCAGCTAGAGTTCTAGACACCTGGCTAGTGACTATGGTTCTAGTGAAAATAGGCTTGATTTCATTACTCTTCACAGAGGTTCTGTTCCCTTTCCTGATGCATTCTCACAGGATGTAAATGGCTAGTTTCATATT